GGGGGTGGCCGATGGCATGGTCGAAGAGGAGGGTCTTGAGGTGGGACTTGAAGAAGGCCAAGGAGGGGGCGAGGCGGAGTGATTGGGGGATGAAATTCCAGAGTTTGGGGGCAGAGTGGTTGAAGGCTCTCCTGCCAATGGTGGGGCGGATGGGTCAGCGGACGTGGGTCAGGCTGGAGCCGGCTGAGTGGAGGGAGCGGGTGGGTTGGTAGGGGGTTAGGAGGTTGGGTGGAGGGGAGGTAGGGTAGGGCGAGACCATGGAGGGCTTTGTATGTGAGGACCAGGATCTTGAACGGGATCCTCTGAAGGATAGGGAGCCAATGGAGTCGGTCGAGAATGGGGGAGATGGGGTCGCTAGTTTGTTTTAATGCCCTCGCATCCATCTAGTCCTTCAGGGAGAACAAACACAAACATTGTACATTAGCTTCCATCTTACACAAGTTGCTTGGGCTAGAAGAGATTTTTTACAGCTATCAGTAGGTTGAAATCCACAACAATGCTCATAGCAACACCCTGCTGGCCATTGCCAGCAGGAAACTCTAGCTTTTGGGATGTAAAGAACGTAGCTAAATGGTCTAACAACTGCAATGTATTACTGTAGAATCAAAATTAAATGTTACATTAACAAAATTGGGAACAAAACCCTGAGTCAAACACAAACATACTTTTACCCAGCAGGAGATCAAAATTTACCATCTTATGTCTGATGAATGAGGTATTGTATCTTGTCCATTGTTAGCTGTAACCTGAAGCTGGTTGAAATCCACACAAGCATTTAATGAAAACTAACAAGCAGAAGTGGTGCTTTTGAAAAGAGCATTTGAATAATAATCAAATCTCATTGCAGTTTAATTGGGTCTCAATTTGTGTCTGCTTTGGCCAAAGGCAAGAAAGTCTATCTTTTTATCACATGCATGGGTGAGAGAGCTGATTCGAAAGGAGAAGCATTTGTGTTGAAAGGTGACCTTTCAACATACTGTAATTACTTGTTGGCTGAATCAGTTCTTTCATCCAGATATCTGATACAAAAATATGTTTCCAGAGATGCGGGGATATCAATGTTTAGATGTGTTTGTGCCTAATGGAAGCAATGAGCTACAATTCCTCCATTCCAGGACAAGAGTCTCTGCTGGTTCAGTGAGGAAGGATAAGCATTCAGTAAATCACAGTGCTGAATCTGTGAACACGTATTGCAATTCTTAACTATAAGGATTGCCTTTTCTGCATATAGTCAAAGTTGAAATAATGAATCACGAGTTAAATGGATTATGAATCTGAATGATGTATTTTAGCCTTCAGCCAAAATAGGTAGTGGTTGAGCAGTAAAACAGGATTGGGTTTTATCATTCCATGTTTAAGAATACACAAGCTGGTTATTTTCATGAACATCCCTGAGGTAAAAGTTGTGGATCATGTGAATTTGGTGCTAGTTAGCCTACTCTGGGTGTCCTGATGTTGCAGATGGTCATCAGGAGGTGCTACTCATTAGGTGTCTTGGATAGTAGCACTCTCACTTCTTGAGTCAGAAGTTTGAGGGTTCAAGATCATAATCTAGGTTGACAGTGGGATTGATTTGGGTAGCTCTTTTCAAAGAGCCGTCATTTTCGATGGGCCAAATGGCCTCCTTCTGTGCTGTATAATTCTATGACACTCCATTGCAATGATGGGAGAGCATCGTTGCAGGGGTCATCCTTCTAATGAGACGTTAAACTGAGCTCTTGTTTGCTTGTTCAGGTGGATGTTAAAGATCCCATCCCACTATTCAAAAAGAAAATAATACTGTCATGAGAATGCTTATATTTGGTACAGCACCTTTTCACATCAGAAGGACACCATGAAGCACTTCACAGGATATAACATGCAGTGACTGTATTTTGAGGGTGAAAACAGCAGCTAAATTTCACACAGCAATGTCCTACAGTCATGGAGTGAATGACCAATTTTATCTGGAGAATTGTCGGCAAGACACAGGAAGAAATATTCCCTTCTCATTTTATTGTGCCATGGGATCTCTAATGTCCACCTGAACAGACAAACGGGACGTCAGTTTAACGCCTCTTTCAAAGGACTGTAACTCCAACAACGCAGTGCATCCCCAGCACTGCACTGGAGTGTTATCTTAGACTATATGAGTTCCAAGACCCAATGTAGGGCTTGAACCCTTCTGACTGAGAGACAAAAGTGCTGCAAACTGAGCCAGGCTGACACACCTAATGGAATGAAATCTTGACAGACAATCCCTCCAATAAATGTAGTCACTCACTTCATGGCTCTGTGCAAATTGGTTGCCACATTCGTCTCCAAATGCAGTTATGCACACTGAGGCCTTTTGATTACTTGAAAAAGCGTTATATCAAGCATAATATTATTATTTATTACTAAAATTAACATCAAGCTAATATAGGAGAAATTTACATTCCAATGTGTAATACACGTTGATTGATGAATTTTCCAATAACAAAACAATGGTCATTGTTAGAGGTTTTCTTAGTTACTTTCATTGCAAACATTTTTATTTTCATTGCAGTCTTTTGTTTTTGGAATTGATCAAAGCTCCAAGCATAATCCTTTGCGAAGCCCTACATAACAAAGGTGGTGTTTGATTTTAAGCCTGGGATCTGACTGGCCTTTAGGACAGTGTTAGTTAGACCATGAATTTATAGAGTTGTTAACCATGGCAGATTTCCGGCAAACCAATAATTATATAACATCGAAACCCATTACAATCCGATTACAATCGGCAGTATCATCTGTTCAAATTGATTATATGTAGCAGCTTTGTTATCTATCATATATAGTGAGGTATCCAGGCTTGCCAATCATTAATAACTGCGCTGAAGTGATACGGTATGAATAATTTATTCGGTGGAATTGCCTCTACCAGACGAGAAAGAGCTAAGCAATTAAAAGGAACTAGTGTAGTAAATGTGAGATTGATGTGTGTATTGATCATTTGAAACACAATTTATGGCCAATTTGGGTGTTTAAAAGTGCTTGTCCATAGATACCGTTTTAAGGATGAAACCTGGGATGAAGCATTAATAATAATAATCCTTGCATTTGATATAGTGCTTTTTCATGTCTTCTAGACGTCTCAAAGCGCTTCACAGAATATATTGTAAAATGAATTGACTGTATATTTTGTGGGTGAAACGCGGCAGCCAATTGCGCACGTCAGTCTCCACAAACAGTCGTGGATTGAAGTGACCAATTTATTATTGTTTTTTTTCTTGAGGGATTCTTATTGAGCGTGTGGAGTAAGGAAACTTGCCCAAGGTTTCGCCCTGCTGGGAATCGAACCCACGTCTCTCGCTTGCCAGGCAAGTGCTCTAACCACTGGGCTACAGGATTACCTGAATAAGTCTTCTTAGTCGATCCAGTGCACCATGCAAAGGTGCTGTATTGGGGGCATTAAATACATGGGCAGGGAAGGAAGCTTAGTTTATGATTTTTCCAGATGTTTTTAAGTAACAATAATCTTTGAATTTGATTTTGTGTCATGCATTTTGGTTCAGGGTCCTGAAGCACACTTCACAAAGATACTGAGTTTTTTTGATCCAACATGGTGAAACCATTCACCAGGCTAAAGAGCATCCAAACCAGCCAGAGAGTTCCAAATGTAGATAAAGAGATTGACAATAATTGCCTAACAGAGAGGAAGGGTGCCTTTGATGCATCTGAAGTATAAATACTCGACCACTGAATTACTGTAAGTTTTTTTTCAACCTCAGTACAATATTTTGCACAGAGTTGAACATCGATGCGGATTTTTAAATAACCTACTTTATTACCCATTAATAAGGCATAAATGAAAGATTCATGTTTGTAGCAAACATTATTAATAGACACCATTGTCAAGTAGGTTTAAAATAATGCTCTAAGGCACAATGGGCAGCATTGGTGATATTGTATTTGCCGAGGAAAATGCATAATGTCTCCACTCTGCAGGGAATCCTGTGAAGTGCTTTGAGACATCCTCCAGATGTAAAAGGCACTACATAAAATCAAGGATTATTATTATATATCAAGATACTTGTACCCGTCTATTGATCAGGGAACCATGCCTTTGACACGACTCACTCTCATTCACAATATAGCATTGTAACAGGGGGATAAACCCAGTCACTGTCTTTTATAGTTATTGGCGCTCAACCTAACCTAACAAGGGCTGGACTCCAATCAAGCACCAGCCCTAAGTGACAATGGAGCATCAGTATATAGCTGGGGGATCATGAGAAGTGAGGGAAGTCTGGAATAGACAGATATAAAAAGGTTGAGCTTCCTTTTCATAATAAACCTTTCTTTTTTGGTTGGAAATGTTGTGCAACTTCTGTTTTTCAGGGGTGATCCATGCTCTCCTACAAACACATACACTTTGCCTATGCTATGTAACAAACATCAAACATATGAAGAAAGGTGCTTAATTGTCAAGCATAGTGGCAATATTTTGCAGGTCAACATGGTGGTAGAACCAAAAAGAGAAAGCATATGACACACAGGTGTTTTTTTTAGCCAGCTGTATTGTAGAGTCTCAAACAGTATCAATATAAATATAATTCAACCCACTCACATAAAGTAATCTCCAGGGGTTTATTCCATTCCATGCGCTAACCATAGCTATTTCATGGATGTTGACTTAAGCACTTTTCTATTCAATTCGCTGAGTTTAGTAAATTTACTTCAGTGAACTTATAAATAATTATAATGACATTTTAAATTATAGATAACATTGCAAATGTAAAATGAAATGGTACATATAAAACTGCAATGGTTATTAATAAACTCTAACGGTCACAAACACAGCAGGTTAGCTCACATGACTGAATGCACTACATTGGCTGCACAGAGCAGAATAACAGCCCACTTCCCGCCCCATCCCCGTGATCTCATGGAAAAGGAATGCTGAGAATGGTGAGATTCCATGGGAAGAATATAATATAAAATCTGCAAATTGGTACTATTTAATCACTGGGAAATTGCTACTTTTGTTTCTTCTACAGCGAGCTGAAGCAGAAACTAAGCGAAGAAGGCAACAAGCGCAGCATCCTTTCTAAGCAGGAGAAGTTCAATGAGACTTGCTGTATCCGCTGCTGCAGACCCTTTACCTTTCTCATCAACACCAAGCGCCCATGCTTAGACTGTAAGTTCAACATCTGCAAGAACTGTGGCACATACAGCAAGAAAGACAAGATCTGGATCTGCACAGTCTGTCAGCAGACTAGGTAAGTAAGAGTTTTTTTCTTTTCTTCTTTGATATGTGAGGTTCTCAAATATCTTCATGACAAATGAGCATTTCCTAAATGTTGATAGTTGAGTGACCTAATAGTTCTTGTTATGTGGGATATGCCTCTGTGGATCTGACGGACCGGAACGCTTGCTGCTTATAATAGTTACATGTCTTTGCGATTGTTTCATACTCTGTCAGAGGTCTAGGTTTGGAGATTATTTGATCTGTTGCCAGCAGCTACTCCACACAGTGCTTGTCAACTACCTCATGCAGAGTAGAGTAAAATCACAGTGTATTGAAGCAAATCCATAGCCACATTTACTTTCAGCAAACCTCCTTAAGTGTGCTAGGTACTGGCTGACTCATAATGGAAAATAATAATAATCCTTGCACTTGATAGAGCATCTTATCACGCCTTTGCGACATCTCAAAGTACTTCACAGAATATACTGTAAAGTGAATTTACTGTATATTTTGAAAATAGTTAATCATTTGAAACCATCAGCACATCTCTTCAGTTTCATTGTTAAATTTGCTTCACGGCTCTGCTGTTTACATGCACTAATGTGAATAGATTACTTTTGTAATTTTCAAGTGATTAAGATTTAACTAAATTATCAACTATTATGAAGAATAATAAGTAATAATAAACCTTGCATTTACATGTGCCCAGAAAATACACAAGTCAAAACCACTTTACAGTATATCCTGTGAAGTGCTTTGAGATGTTTCAATGACATGATAAGGCTCTATCTCAAATGCAAGAATTATTATTATTATTTGATATAGTGCCTTTCACGTCAGATGGGAGTCTCAAATCTCTTCACAGGATTTACTATAAAGAGTAGTGACTGTATATTTTGTAGGAGAAAATATCCATTTATTTTGAAGGAAAGGAGCTTTTAATCATGATGTTATGTAATATATTATGTAATAATCCTTACATTAGATATAGTGCCTTTTCAAGCAATCAAAGCGTCTCAAAGCACATCATAAGTTACGATATAAAGTGGTGTGATTATTTTTTGTCGGCGAATATAACGGAAATAGGATTAGGTATCGGGATACAGTGGATATAGGAGTTGGGAGATTTATTGAAAATATTTAATTTGTGGATCCACTGATCTTGATAATTGTGGGTAAAAAATAAGTATTTCATTATTTGGATGGAAGCCTAATAGCCCATGGCTGTTTCAAATGTGCAGTCAATGCCTAGTTCATACAGCAATTTTGTAAAGGAAACATGTAGAAGCATAGAGACAAACAAGATAAAATCGAGCTTATAAAATGAGAAAAGACATTGTATGAACAAAACTCATATACTTCTTATTGGCAGCATCTATATATGAATAAAAAAATAATAAACACTTCCTAATTATCAATTTTCTTTATAGAGAGTAGAGTTTTCACGGTTGTACAGTATGTGAGGCAGTTTGACTTGGGTACCTTATAATGAATTGCTTTTGGGTAAGAAAAGGATCTAACGATACTTCAGCAATAACCGTTCTGATTTCCATTCTCCTGGGAGTAGGTGCAGGCATGCTGGCTAAATATACACCCGCATAACTACAGTGTTGTTGAGACAGAGCCTCTTGTGTATCCATCATATAGACCTGATCACTATGATTTCTGCCTCAGGCTAGCAGTAAGAGTTTTATACTCTGGGGCGAAAGTATAGCACACCACTGTAGGCCTTGAATTCCTTGCCAGTTCTCTTTTCCAAATATCATTCCTCGCTACTGCTTTTGTCTTTTCTTCCTCTTCTTTGTGTCTCTGTCTCTCCTCAGGTGGTTTGTTTCTTTTCTTCCCCTGGATTACTTATGCCCAATGCTTCCCCTTCTATTGCCTGTTGTGTTCTTGACAACCTGGTGCTCCTTCCTCGTGCCCCTCTCTTGTCTCCTCTGTTATTGTCTGTGGACGCTTTCTGTCAGAGAAAGAGTCAGGAACTATACTAGAATAAAATAAATGCCTTGTTTCTAAATGTTCTCACTATCTTCCTTGTGGTTACAGCATGCTTCAACATTCAATCATTTTTTGTCAAGGAGAGCAGATTCCCTCTCCTTAGCAAATCAGCACTAGGAAATATTTCACCATAACAAGTGTTATGGTGGGAGTTGTGTTTGAGTGGTGTGGTGTGAAGTGGGAATGTTGCGGTGGGAGTGTTGTGGTGGTAGTGCGGTGTATGAGTAATGCTGCAGTTCTCAAACATGTACAACAACAAAATTACATTTGTAAAGCGCCTTTCACATTGGGAGGACGTCCCACGTCACTGAACAGTCAGGAGCAGGGCCCAAACTTGACGGAGGCGGGGTTGGCATGAGGGAGGGAAGAGAGGTAGGAGGGTGGCTGAAGGCATGGTTGAAAAGGAGGGTCTTGCCAAACTAATGTAAGTTTTGTTTGGTGGAGGAAAGAGTGGCCTTTTCTCACTTCATGCTTCCTTACATTAATGGGACATTACCTGATACTGTCTGTCTCAGAACAAGACAGAGGATTGAGTGAAGGAACCTCTTATTTTCCATGGCTCAATGCCACTCAGTGGACAACAACAACTTGCATTTATATAGCCCCCTCACACAGGGTGGCATCCCAGAGCGCTTGACAGTGGCGGAGCACGACACTAAATCAGGGGGCGGGGCAGGTGACCATAAGCATGGTCGAAGAGGAAGGTCTTCAGGCACAGACTGAAGATGGGGAAGGAGGGGGCAAGGTGGAGGGATTGAGGGAGTGTTCCAAAGTTTTGAGGTGTACTCTATTTTTCCAATGTGTACAACACTGAACTCCCCAAATTCATATTATGTATATGTTTTAGCACTTGTTATTGGTTAGAACAACAAAAATAAAAGGCATATGATATAAATGTCTTTGATCAAATGCTGTGCAACATTGTCAAAAGAAAATTAGCTGTGGGATAAAATTATACAGACTATCTTTGCAATGGTGCTCAAAAGGTGGCATTGCAAAGAGTTCGCTAGTGATTTGCAATTCGTTTAAATAAAAATGTAAGATCGGAAATTCTACTGTGGTTTTCAGATGTAGAAAACATTCATCTTTTTGTATGTTTATTTTAAGGCAGTTTGTCAGTGCAATGCCATATGATTTTACTGGCACATTTCAAATTAAATGCATGTACTGTGACAGCTATTTGACATAAAATGATAGAAATTTGTCTTATATCAGGATGAAAAACTGTGAAAAGTAATCTGCATCTCACATGAAACCAATCTGCTGGCAGAGTACCTTTTGATAAATATTCGACAATTCAATTCACTGCAGTATCTTAACCAGTGACCCTAATTTAGGGATCCAAAACTGAAGTTGTTTGATAACAAGAAATAACAAGAAGTCAATATTAAACAGGCGAATTTGCAGCTATAGGCAGATTAACTCGGTCACACAATTTGTTTGTTTGCTGCTGGGTGAGATTGAAGCTCCAATGTACTGTCTCTTCAAGGAAGGTAGTTCTTTACAGTAGATTTATTTATCTGAGATGTGACTGAATGAAGTCCAAGCACCTGAGTCATCATCCATTATCATCTTTAAACCTGACTAAACCAGCACTCTTTGAGAAGGATCACATTATTGCCAACTTACGATTTGTGGCTATCTTTAGTGTGTAAAGATGGATCATTCATTGGTTAAAATGTCCTGCAGCATTGACTACAGTATTTAGCCTTTTTTTCAGGAAAAAAAACACCTCATTGTTGGATGTTTGCCTATAGGAGCATTCTGCTAAGCCAAATACTGTCCTAAACTAGACGTGCACACAGTTACGGACGAGGCCACTAGAGTAGGAACTCTGGCTGATTTTTCCCTACATAGCCTGCAGATGTCAAGGCCATCTCTACTCCTCCTGAGACTGGCTAACCCAGGACAGACTAGGGATTGAATGTAGCACCTTCCTGCTTTGCCTGACTGAGTGCCCCTTAAAGCAGCTCATTTTCTCCATAAACTATCTGTAGACCTCCAATTTCAATCATTTTAACTGTTACCGCTGTGGTGCCAAATTAATTTGAGGATGAATCTTTGTAATCCAGGCTTTAGATGTTAGCAAATAGAACACAATATACCCAAGAGTCTGCACACAATACAGATCGAACTGTGAACTCTGAAGTGACTTCTACGTTGCCTTTGTAGATGTGTGTATAAATAACAGACCTCCATATAAACTTATCTTTGGGTACCCATTACTCACTGTCACAGTAATAATAAATAATAATCCATGCATTTAATATAGCACTTGATCACGTCATTGAGATGTTTCAAAGCTCTTCACAAAATATACTGTAAAGTGAATTGACTGTGTATTCTGAAGTTGAAATGTGGCTGGAAATGGCATCTGTAACTGCAGTAAGCCCAAACCACCTGTATTTGCCCATATTTATACGTTGCTGAAGAACATAGCACAGTCGCGCAAAACAGTACTCCACAAACAGGTATGGATTGAGTGAGTGACCAAATCTATTTATTTATTTGAATATATATGCATTTTCTTTCATATAGCGCCTTTTATGTCAGGAGGGCATCTCAAGACACTTCACAGGATTTACAGTAAAGTGTAGGGACTTTATTATGTGGGTAGGGCGAAACATTGGGCAAGTTTCCTTACTCCACACACCTCTGTTTACCTTGCAGTAAGTAGGAACCCGATTGTCAGTCGATTGTTGGATTGCTTTTCCAGGGGTAATAATCCCTTCTAAAAAATAATAATAATAAATTGATCACTTCAATCCATGACTGTTTGTGGGACACTGCTTTGCGCAATTGGCGCCAATCTGGAGCATCTTTGAGTGTATGCGAAAGGCACTACTCACTAGTATTTGTAATTTACTACTAATTATCATTATTATAAAGACTCTTATAAAGAAAGAGTGAAGCTTCTAAGTGATGGATTAGCATTTCCCCCAGACTGAGTGAGGAATGCTTTATTGCTAACAGAATGAGAAATGCTCTCACCATGTAAACTGGCAGATCCCTCTTAGTGCATCTATGAATGTT